CCCTGCCTCGTCCCCCCCACCCTGTGCCCGCCGCCCAGCCGGCAGCCAGGGCGGCTGCTGGGACACGCGGGTCACGTTCACTCTGCGGCCTGAATGCTCTGGGCACTCAGCGCCGTCGCAGCACCAGTGACCTTGTATTTCCACGTGCAGGTCACGGGACTCTAGTCACGAACGAGCCCGCGGGATCGGGCGAGCTGACCCGCGTGCGGGAAGGATGTCTGAAGAGTGGGGCGTGACCAGGCTTTGGGGCACACTAATAATTCTTACAGATGGTCCTCAGACCTCCAGACCTCCAGAGGAGGAGCAGAGGAAACCCTTTGGACTAGAGCAGTTAGAACGATCTGTTAGAACTAACTGCCTTGCCCTTTTGGGGGCCGTATCTTCACGGGAAGGAACCTAGTTTTAGCACATCCTGACGCTACCCCATGTTTTCAGGGAGGCCCCAGCGACCTGTAAACCCAGGTACTAGTTAGATCACACACCAGGGGTCGCCCGCATCCCGCGAGGAAAGGTAAGCGCCCCTGCGGGTGTGCATACGCAACGGAGACCTTCCGCGAGCAGGGCTCGCCAAAGCCACTCCCTGGGCTATTCTGTGACAGGGGCGGTTGTGCTGGAAAGGCCCAAGCCTTCCTCCCTGCCGGCAGGCCCTACTCAGAAACCCACCCGCCACAGCCAGAAGGGACAGGCGTGGTGCCGTGTGTCTGTCCTCCGAGCCAGAGCTGTCTAGAAATGCTAACCACAGCAAGCCGACCAGGAGTCACGGGGGACCGGGGACTAACGTGGGCTGGCAGGGGACGGCCAGGGCCGTCTCCGCTCACGTCTGCTTTCACTTCGTACAGTTCACTTGGAATGGTTTGCGCCCAGGGCAGAGGAGACCACGTAGTTCGAATTTAACTTGTGGGACTGTCTTAGCTATCAGTAGATACGAAAAACGTGCCAAGGGTTCAATCTTGGTGAATAACGCTCGGGAGTCCTCATTTTCAAACATGACCTTGAGGGTACGCTTGCGGAGAAGAGAGTTAACTGAGTCCAATGCTCTACAGCAGCGACGCGACTAAAAGTTTGTACCTTAATCTCTTGGAAGTTAAAGTGCCACGATCTGTTACACTCTTCCGCTTTGTCAGGCCTCGAAATTAAAATTAAAAACAACAGAAATTAGTCTCGGTCGAGATGGGTTCCAAAAGGCAGGAGGAAACACTTCCATTAAGGTCTGCAGAGAGTAAAGGAAGAGAAACCGTCACATGGTGCGAGTCGCTTAACAAAGACACTCAGGTATCAGCGGTCCCGGTTGCGCGTCTTTCAAAGACATCGTCCAGGAGAAAGGCCAACAGGAAGCAAACTGAACAACCCGGTAGGGGGCGCTCTGGAGTCAGGGTGGGGTCTAAGTCAACTGCCCTCTGACAATCTCCCCTGCTGCTGCGCAGACCAGCAAGTTCCCCTCTCTTCCAATGGCGATGAGGGCGAATGAGGACATACGTAACGGGCTCAGGCAGTGGCTGGCAACGACCCAGGATCGGCTAGCACGATTTCTTAAACCACCAAGCAAGGGTACCCTCCGACTTCCCTTTGTCTGCCTACTTTGGGACACACCAACTTCCTGTCTCCAGATGAGTTCCCAAGGCCACCAAATCTACTTTCCGACCCCTGGCTCAACGGGTTGGCCCAGCAACCCGAAATCGGTGCAGCCCCCACGGGGACGAGAGCAGTGCTGTGCACCGTCCTTCCAGCCACAAGCAGAGTGGCAGGTACATCAGCAGGACCCAAGAAGGCCAAGGTCCCGGAGACGAGTGTCGGGGTCACTGGTGAGTCTGGGGCGAAGGAGGGGCCAGAGCCCGGGCCCCAGTCCCCAGTTTAATTTGCTTCCCACAAAACCCTGTTCCTGAGGAGCAGGCCTGTGCCAGCAAAGGCCAGCATGGCCCTCCTGTCGTGGGAGCGGCAGGATGAGGCACCCCTTTGACGGGGCAGAGTGACGTGTGCGGTTAAACATCACAAGAATATGCACAAATAGGGAAACGATAAACAGAACGCAGGCAAAACCAGAAAAACGAATTCGGGTACTGTGACAGGTGCCAACGTAGATACGTGTAATAAACGAGTGGGACACTTGGGCATTTACTTTTATATAGCTACTCGCTGCCCCCAAAAGAAGGACGAAATGAGGAAATTACAGTTAGTCGTCTTAAAATGGGCCCAGAGTCCCTAAATGCATGTTTAAGCCAGATCGTTACTGTTCTATCGAGACAGAACCGAACAGCAACAAAATCAGGGTTATTTCGGAAAGACTGAAGACGCCATAAATAAGGATTTGGTCTAGCGAATAAACTCCTAACAAAAATCACGAGTGTAACCGTTTGGACCGGCCTCAAGCTAGTTTCAGGTTGGCTAGCTTCTTTTCCCCGTTTCAATTTTTTTTTTTTAATTTTTTTCAATGTTTATTCATTTTTGACAGAGTCAGGGCCTGAGTGGAGGAGGGGCAGAGAGAGAGGGAGACACAGGCTCGGAAGCAGGCTCCGGGCTCCGAGCTGTCAGCACAGAGCCCGACGCGGGGCTCGAACTCACGGAACCGCGAGATCGTGACCTGAGCCGAAGCCGGACGCTTAACCGACTGAGCCACCCAGGCGCCCCTTCCTGTTCACATCGGAATCACGCTAAGGGCTTGCCATAATCCGTGTATCGTCCAGTAGTCCGGAGGGTCTCTGCAGTCCTTTCCAACTTCCTGCAGAGAAAGGACACGAGAACACAGAGCAAATAATCGGTTTCACTGTTTATTTAGATACACGTAGCACCTTTCCCTTCTTTTCACATATACCACCAGCCACAGGCAGGACCCACACAAACCAGCCCCCAGGGGATCTGGGGAGGATTCCGGTGCGGCCCTACATGGGGGGGCGTGTCGGACCTGGAAGGAGGGGTCCAATCTCACACAATTACTCGACAGAACTGAAACCTGAGTTTTGCTTTGCCTTTCTTCTTTTTAAATTTTTTTTTTTTAATTTTTTTTTTTTTCAACGTTTATTTATTTTTGGGACAGAGAGAGACAGAGCATGAACGGGGGAGGGGCAGAGAGAGAGGGAGACACAGAATCGGAAACAGGCTCCAGGCTCTGAGCCGTCAGCCCAGAGCCCGACGCGGGGCTCGAACTCACGGACCGCGAGATCGTGACCTGGCTGAAGTCGGACGCCTAACCGACTGCGCCACCCAGGCGCCCCAGCCTTTCTTCTTTTTAAACGTGTCCTCAGATTAAGTCAGCCTGATGGAAGCACTCACTTGCCCATAATTTTCGTAACGTGTAACCCAAAATACCCGTGCGGGGATGACGACACCCAGCTAAACTCAAGGGTGTTCAGGCTCCAGGTCCGAACGCAGTAGTGCTACAAGTATGGAAACTGCGAACATTCCGGAGCAAAGACACCAAGGTGAGGAAGGGACAATGAAGATAAGTTCACAGAGGTAAACCCCAGTGGCATACTCTCCCGGGACCTCCAAAGTGTTTAGCTAAAGTGGAGTTTTTCCAAAACAGCCGACCGTCAAGAACTACGCTGGCCGTCAGACCAGACGAGACCCAAGTCCTGCCCGTCGCCCCCGCAGGGAATAAGCCAATGAAAAGCGGGTGTGGGTGTCTAGTGAGGACAGGCGAGGCACCACGCAGATTCTCAAGCCTTTCCTCTCGGGGTCGCCTGGGCAGGGAGCAAGCTTCTGTCCCAGGTCGGTCTGGAAAGGAGGGAGGCTCTGGTTTAGGAGACCGGCCTGCGGAGGCATGAAAGGTACCCGCCACACGCCGAGGGGGCAGAAGGGCAGGACGACCCAGGGCAGGACCAGAGCAGGCGGCGTGAACCTCACCTCTCCCAACCCCCAGTTTCACCCCCCAGGAAACCACCACTGGCCACAGGAGCCAGGGCTTCTGCCGGCTCCACGTCCAGCGTCTCAGACGAGCCTGTAAGGGGACGCTGGGGCGGCTTTTGTTCACCATCGGCAAGTACCGGTCAGTGCCCGGCATGTGCCCGAGGGCCTGGGCAGAGCACCGAGGAGGGTCGGGGAGAGAAAGACACATCTGTCGCCACACCTAAAATGCCCATGTCACTCATGCGGGGAAGGAGCCCAGAGACAGCCCCACTGCCCAGGAAGATGCTTCGGCCAGAGTAGTGACAGGTCCCCTCGTCAAGGCCACCCTGGATTGAAATTCCCTAACGATGACATTTCACAAGGAGTTGATTTTTTTTTTTTTTTTAATCTCAGTTCTAAAGCCTCAAGGGAGGAAAGCACTTCTGGTATATTTACAGTCAGGGCCCAGGAACACACCCACATTGGGTCACAGTAAAGCCTCACCCACCAAACGACCTTGTTCCCTGCCCCAGGGGCAAACCTTCTGTGTTCCCTAAGACTGGGGCTGTCCACACGCGGCCCCTCCCACCGGAACCTGGGGCTTACAAAGCTCACAAGGCCGACCTGCTGGGGGTGTGGGGGGCAGAGCCAGGTCTCCAGCAGAGCTCAAAGCTGGTCACCAGCAACCCCGTTCGTTCTCCTCCCATCCAACACTCTACCCGGAGCTCGGAAACAGCACCAGAGCCAGAAAGACAAGGTACGGTGCGAGGTTCGGAAAACCAAAACCAGAGAGAGCAGCCTCAGCGAGAGTAAAGCGACAGATGGCCAGAAATGACATGCCAGCTCACGAGGAAACATGCGTGTAAATGACTCTGCATGGGGCTTCGACCGAGGAACGGGGGTGGGGGGCAGGGAGGGTGGGGGGGGGTTGCGGTGTGGTTGAGATCAGAAAACTCACCTTGCACACTGTTACGGGCCAGTGGTGAACCATAATTAGCTTTTTCCACTCATGGTTGTCACTGTTAAAAGACAAAAGACTTACTTTTCAAGAACTGTTTTTTTTTTTTTTTTTCAACGT